CCCGGGGCAGCAAGTCCACTATCTCAGCTAGTTGGCACCAAGCGTGCCCAGGCTGACGCCGGAGAGTGAACCCACGACCTCCTGAATGCCACTTGCGTGCCTAACCAACTGAGCTAGTCCGCTTGCTCCAGACCCCCGATCCATGCACTAGAACCCTTTTTTCTTTCTTTCCGTTCACTGTGCGTGTCAGCCTTGCGCAGGGCCCATGCTAATCTTCTCTGTATCATTCCAATTTTAACCGGCTGCCCCGAAGAACCGCTGTGCGGATGCTGTTGGATACTTCCCTCGGTTCTTGGCCCCGCGAACGAAACGAACGCTACTGGTCGTCACCGAATAGAACGCCCGGTCATTATAGCTGTATTTGGGGCACCTTTCAGTCTGGACACAGCGATAATAACCGGCCGTTCTATGCGGGTAAAGACGGTTACTAGCCATGTAAATAACCGACCGTTCTACGCCGTTCTATGCGAGTAGCGCCGCGTAAAACAGTCATGTTGATGTTGAGGGAGCTTGTAAAAGGCGAAGACGGCACCCTTACAAGTAGCAGGGTGACGAACTGCGAGAGCGGACGTGCTTTGTCTGGCCTTGCTCGCTGAAGAAGCACACGTGCAGGCAGCAGCCGAGACCCGTTGGGATCTGTGTACAGATGGTTGTGTTGTCCTCGTGCGGTGAATCTGTTCCTCTCTGTAAGATTAGTTTCAACTTTGAACCCCTCGAACCTTGAACCTTGAACCTTGACCCATGGTTTGAAAACTTCGAACCTTAACCTTGAACCTTACCTCCAACATCGAACCATGGTTTGAACCTTGAACCATGGTTTGAACCTTTAACTTTAACCTTTTGAACCTTGAACCTTGAACCATGGTTTGAACTCTGAACCATGGTTTGAAGTCTGAACCTTGAACCTTGAACCTTGGTTTGAACTCTGAAGCTTGAACCCTGAACCATGGTTTGAACTCTGAACCATGGTTTGAAGTCTGAACCTTGAACCTTGAACCATGGTTTGAACTCTGAAGCTTGAAGTAGGGCTCTGTCTCTTGTTCCATGCCCTTTGCATGTAGTAGAATGCTATAATGCTGAGCGTGCTTCTGAGTACGGGATGCTGGCCGAAGCTGGAGCTGTGTCATGCATGAATCTGAGTGTATGTTTGCTACCATACGACATGATAATGTGCGATCATTCGGTCTGCGTGCAACGTATGCGTCCACATGCTATGACTTTCGTAGATGTATTTGATGCGAACGATAGCAAAAGGAAAAGATTGATTCGTTCGAAGGCACAAAGTGAGTACTTCTCGTCGTTCTGAGTATACTGAATGTTGTCCGAATGCTAATAAAGCTTTGCATGCATGCATGCATGCATGCATGCTTCTGACGACAGGATGTGCGAATAAATAAATAAATTAATGTGTCCGCATACTAGGACTTTCGTGGATGTATTTGATGGTAATGATGGCCGGATTCATTCGTTCGAAGTGAGAGTACGTCTCGTCGTTCTCGGTACACTGAATGTTGTCCGAATGCTAATAAAGCTTTGCATGCATGGATACTTCTGACGACAGGATGTGCGAAAAAACAATAAAATTAACGTGTCCGCATACTAGGACTTTCGTGGATGTATTTGATGGTAATGATGGCCGGATTCATTCGCTCGAAGTGAGAGTACGTCTCGTCGTTCTCAGTACACTGAATGTTGTCCGAATGCTAATAAAGCTTTGCATGCATGCATGCATGCTTCTGAAGACGTAAGGTACGATCGATCATCACTCTGTGTGTGCGGTGTTCAGCTGTGACTTTTCTGGATGTATTTGACGGTGATGATCGCTAGATTCTTTCGTTAAGCTCACGATGATTCTGTGTGCGGTGTCCAGCAGTGACGGCAACAGAAAACTTCACGTGCGCAATCTGGCATTAAATGATCGATGCGATCTTTTTCAGTTGACGTCACACTGTTTCCCCATCGTCTAGTTGACATTCAGGTAAACCGAGCCGACTCGTTCCACAAATCTCTTTTTTTTTTTTTTTCGAAAAATTATTTTCACCATTCTTCTAGTTCTCTCCTCCACCCTCCCTCTCCCCTCTCCCCGTCCAGCTCTCCTTTTTTTTTTTTTTTTTTTTTCCCCTGTGGTGAAACAGAAGTTCTGTGATCTATTGGAGGGGAGCTTTTATTCCCCCTCTTCTACGAGAAACAGAGGAAAGCTCCCCTCTAACAGATCGGAAGAACTTTTCCTAAAGAAGGGAAAAAAGAAAAAAAAGAAAAGGTGTACCTCCTCCTCTTCGCGGCCGAGACATGCTTTCGAACACGAAGATATTAGTGTGCATTAAAATTCCACTTATTCAACTGACACTTTTTTTTTTTCGTTTTTTTTTTCTAGGTCTTTTTTTTTTTTCCTTCTCGCTGTTCTTGTTGGCCTCGCAACCATCGTGGCCGTCAAGATCGCCATGAAGGTCTGGATCGCGATCGCCATGAAGATCTGGATTACAGAACGTACCATGGTTGGTTCTGTAGTGCGGATGAAGATCGGGATCGCGATCACAAGCATGATCAACTTCGTGATCAAGATCGTTTTTTGACGGTCAAGATAAGTGAGGATGAGTACGATCGGTATCGCGATCACAAGCATGATAAAAAAAAAGAAAAAAGATCGCGAACGCCATGAAGATCATGGTTGGCTCTGTAATGCTGATGAAGATCGGGATAGCGATCACAAGCATGATCAACTTCGTGATCAAGATTGGTTTTTGACGGTCAAGATACGTGATGATGAGCACGATCGGTATCGCGATCACAAACATGATGAAAAAAAAAAAAAAGATCGCGAACGCCATGTAGATCTGGATCACAGAACCATGGTTGGTTCTGTAATGCTGATGAAGATCGGGATCGCGATCACAAGCATGATTAACTTCCTGATCAAGATCGATTTTTGACGGTCAAGATACGTGATGATGAGCACGATCGGTATCGCGATGACAAGCATGATGAAAAAAGAAAAAAAAGATCGCGAACGCCATGTAGATCTGGATTACAGAACCATGGTTGGTTCTGTAATGCTGATGAAGATCGGGATCGCGATCACAAGCATGATCAACTTCCTGATCAAGATCGATTTTTGACGGTCAAGATACGTGATGATGAGCACGATCGGTATCGCGATCACAAGCATGATCAGAAAAAAAAAAAAAAAGATCTTTTCGACGGTTTTTTATGGTCCCAATCTTTTGATGATCCTACCCTTCTTCACCCCGAATAAAACAAAACGTACGGTCATTATTGCTGTATTTAGACTGAAAGATGCACCAAATACATACAGCTATATTGATCGTACATTGTATCCGGCTGAAGAAGGTACTTACTGACGTGATTAGTGAACAAAGATCAAGCCGGCAATGCGATGGTACTAAAGCTCGTCATCTTCTTTTTTTTTTTTTTTTTTTTTTTTTTTTAAAAGCTCGTCATCTTGCTCTTTAACCCGACCCGGGTTTAACCACTACTACCGTCTTCACCCAAATAGAACGCCCGGTCGTTATGGCTGCATCTAGACTGAAAGTTGCCCCAATACGGCTATAATGGCCGGGCGTTCTATTCGGGTTAAATCTTCATCCTCCTCCTGTCTTCCACCACCTCGATCTCCTCCTCCTCTACTCTTCCTCTCCTCGTCCCTTCCTTCCCCTCCTCCTCCTCCTCCTCCTCCTCCTCCTCCTTCTCCCCCTCCTCCTCTTTCTCTTTCTCCCTCTCTTTCTCTTTCTCCCTCTCTTTCTCTTTCTCCCCCTCTTTCTTCCTTATTCTCTGCTCTATCACAATTATCTTGACGACCATTATCTTGATGACCAGGGCAAGACATTCACGAGGAGAAGTTTTGCCAGGGCGATTGTGACATAGAAACCAAACTCAAACTCGAAATCGAAATCGGGATCTTTATGACGACCAGGGATTGAACGAGCGTGGTGGGAAGTGAGCGATGCTGCTATTGATCGCTGTCGTGAAGACGGGGATAAGCATATATATTAGTCTGAACGGCCGTCGAATCCTCTTCTTCCATTGTTGTTTCTTCTTCGTCTTCTTGTTCCCTATCACAATCGACATCTTCAACTTGAAGGTGAGATTGCCACGAAGATGATCAGTGTGTAGAGGACAAGCATGATGCCAATCATCGAAATCGTGATCACGACAAGCACGATTCACATCAACATAGGAACAAGATAACAATCGAAATCGTAGCGAGCAGCAATACATCACAAGCAACGGTGATGCAAAAAAGATGCAATAGTGCTCATAGTTATGGACGTCACCATATCGTAGGATCATGAAAGCAGGGAGACGGCAACGGTGCCTCTGCTCCTCCTTATCCTCTTCCTCTTCCTCCTCCTCTTCCTCTTCCTCCTCCTCTTCCTCTTCCTCCTCCTCCTCTTCCTTCTCTCCCGCCTGATCTTCCACTTCCTTCTCTCCCTCGTGCTCGCCCTCTTCCTCCTCCTCCTCTTCTTCTCTCCCTCCTGCTCTTCCTCTTCCTTCTCTCCCTCGTGGTCCTCTTCATCCACTTTATCCTCTTTCGTGCTTTTCCTCTTCATCCTCCCCCTCCTCCTCCTCCTCTTCTTCCTCTTCCTCTCCGTCCTCTACCTCCTCTTCCTCCTCTACCCCCTCCTCCTGCTCCTCTTCCTCCTCTTCCTCTCCCTCCTCCTCCTCCTCCTCGTCTTCCTTCTCTTGTTATTGTAACACAGGCAATCATCATTCGATCGGGACCATAATAAAGATGGCCAGCCTCCCTCTCCACCTCCTCTCCTTTCTCGTCCTGATCCTTCTCAATCTCTTCTAGTCACTTCGAAATCGCACACATCATCGTGATCAGGGCCGTAATAGAGATCCGGATCGCCAGCGAAGATCGGGATGGCAATGAAAATCCGGCTTGCAACGAGGACCGGGATCGTAATGAAGATCTTGGTGGCGACGAAGATCGGGATCGTAGTGAAGATACGGATCGTAGTGTGAAGATCCGGATCGCAACGAAGGTCGGGATCGTACTGAAGATCCTCGATTGCAACAAAGATCGGGACCTTATTGAAAAACCATGACCGCGAAGAGGATCCGGATCGCAATGAATATCGGGATCGCAATCAAGGTCGGAAGCGCAACGAAGATCGGGATAGCCCAGCAAGCTCAGGATCGCAATGAAGAGAGCAGGTCATCGATAGAGATGGAAGTTGCAACGAAGGTCGGGAGCGCGACGTGGATCGGGATGTCGACAAAGATCAGGATCGCGACGAGCGTTGGAATCGCAAAGAAGAAGATCAGCAGGACTGCGATGGCGAGGATGAGGACTAATAATCGTCGCGAACAATATCTTTTTTGCGAGGATAATTATTTGCAAAATACCCCCATAAGTTGAGATATATGCCAAAATGCCCCTGAAAGATGTGGGTAGAGCGGAATGCCCTTTTGGGCCGAAATCTTTGTGTTGTGCCCCTGTCAGGCGGGTGTCCAACTTTGCAATCTGGACTGGATCTTCCCGTTTGGGCCTTGGCCCTTTGCAATAGCGCCTATTAGGAAAAGTTGGCAAGTACGAGAGGGGCATTTTGCAAAGTTGGACGGTACCCGGTAGGGGTATATTGAAAAGATGGGGGTCCAACCGATGGTAGGGGCATTTCACAAACTCTTTTTTTTTTGTCAGAGGGGTATTCCGCTCTACCCACATCTTTTAGGGGCATTTTGGCACATATCTCAACTTATGGGGGTATTTTGCAAATTATCCCTCGTGAATAATGTTTTTTTGGTGGGAGACATGAAGATAACGCGAAAAGACGATGATGGCGGAAAGTGCTGAGGTGGCAAGAAAGAACAGGTTGTTATCACGACAACGATCATCGGATGCATGATTACCTACAGATGAAAATGTCAATCTTTCTCCTCCTCTCCTTCTTTACCTCCTTCTCCTCCTGCTCTCGCTCTCGTCCACTACCTCCCTCCCGTCTTCCTCCCCTTCCTCCTCTCATGTTCCTCCTCTCCCATCCCTCTCTATCTCATTTTAGTCCTCTTGACTGTGCAGTGTGCGCAGTGTGGTACTCGGGTTGCTTCCGGTAGTAGGCTATTCCTGACGAGGCTGAGGCTGCTGCGGTACCGTAGCCGCCATAGCCGAAAGGCACTAAGCTCGTCGGCACTGGTGGGCTGCCATTCCATCATTCGGCTATTCGGCTATTCTCGATGAGGCTGAGGCTGGTGCTCGACCATAGCCGCGCCATAGTCGAAAGGCATTGAGCTCGTCAGCGCTGGTGCATTGTCATTGCGTCGTTCGGCTACCGTAGCCGCCATAGCCGAAAGGCACTAAGCTCGTCGGCACTGGTGGGCTGCCATTCCATCATTCGGCTATTCGGCTATATTCTCGATGAGGCTGAGGCTGGTGCTCTACCATAGCCGCGCCATAGTCGAAAGGCGTTGAGCTCGTCAGCCCTGCGGCGTTGTCATTGCATCGTTCGGCTTTTCGGCTATTTGTTTTTTTGAGGCTGAGGCTGCTGCGCTACCATAGCCGCGCCATAGCCGAAAGGCTCGCTGGCACTGGAGAGCCACGGTTCCGCTATTCGGCTATTTGGCTATAATTCCTGATGAAGCTGCGGCTGGTTGGTTGGCGACCATGGCCGCCATAGCCGAGAAGCTTTAGGAGCTATGCGTGTGTGCATGAGAGGCAATGCAGACCCACACAGCACAGCTGCATGCACGCGACGAACGTTCTGCTCGCAGAAAGCCTCCTGAGGCTGGTGCGCTACCTCCTAGCTTGTCGGCATCAATGGCCTTGTGTGAATCTAAATGACCGAAGGATGATCGCGAGTGTAAAAGACCCAACCAAAAAAAAGGGAAAAAAAAAAAAAAAAAAAAAAAAACGATGGCGAGACCCGACGCCTCTCGTGAATCTCTGACTGTCCATTCACTGCTTCTGGTCTGCTTCTTGCCTCCTCTCATTCACTGCTTCTGGTCTTCTTCTTGTTCTTCTCCTTTTTCCACGATGAGAATCTTTCCCTTCAGGACATCCACTAAAATTGGACGCATGGCCCTGCGCACGGATGATGACAACGCATAAATCGAGAAATACGTAGTCCCGAAAACGGAAAAAAAAAAGAAAAAGGGAAAAAAAAAGAAAAAGAAAAAGAGAATCGTAATCGCGAAACAACGACGTCACGGAGAGTCAGCGATCGGGAAAATGAGGAAAAAAAAAAAAAAAAAAGGAGCAGCAAAGAAGAATCAAGGATAAGCGATGGGGGAAGGACGATTGCCATCTTCATCACGATCAAGATCCTTTTTTTTTTTCTTTTTTTTTTTCTTTTTTTTTTTTAAACATGACCTTAAGGTCGTGGCTCCTTATCCATTCTGGCGAGCGTCAGTCCGGTTCCTTTTCCACCGGCTCATAAAAAAGACACACACACACACACACACACACACACAAAAAAAAAAAAAAAAAAAAAAAAAAAAAGAAAAAGAAAAAGAAAAAGAAAAAAAAAAAGACACAGGATCACCCACGCACGCTTCCTTACGTCCGGCCAATAAAGGAACATCTGATCAGCATTGATTACTCCATTCCATTCATGCATTGGAGGATCGACTGTCAGCTTGCCTTGCCTTCCTTCCTATAGATATCCTCCTCTCAGCTATGGTGCGAACCACAGCTGTCGGCTCAGCTTGGGGGAAAGAGACAGTCACTTCTTGTTTTTTTTTTTTTTTTTCACTTCTAAAAGGGGCGGGCAACCGGAACGGGATCTGCTGTCGTCTTCGCTCATGTTGAATCCCGATGCTTTTTGGTCTCCTGCCTCCTCCTTTGGTATCTCCTTCCTTCCTTTTTTTGTCTTTTTCTTTTCAGCAGCCATGCAAATCTTCAGTCCCCGTATCGTTTCGACTCTATCTGATAACCCGGAGGAACGATACACAGTCAGACGATTAGCGAGGTGCCAAGATCTGTGGAAGGATGAACAAAAAAAAAAAAAAAAAAAAAACCTTATCTGAGGAAGCCAAGGTCTTTATGGTAAACCAACGTGGCAGTTGCTTGCCATCGCCTGCGATCCCGATCATTATATCATTGTTCGTCAAAATCACAATCTTACTTGTACTACCTCCTCCTCCTCCTCCTCCTCCTCTTCCTCCTCCTCTTCCTCCTCCTCCTCCTCCTCCTCCTCTTCTTCCTCCTGTTGATGCTCATTCCGCCACCATCGCCACGTCCTCCTTTCCCCGTCTTCTCCTTACCCTTCATTTTGTTTCCTTTTCTCGCTTCATTTTCTTTCCTTTTTTCGTTTCCTATTCTTCTTGTTGTGGAAGATGGGCATGGTGAGACATGAGGCCTCGCCGAACCACTCGCCAAATGCCAACCTTTAAAATGTATCCGGCCTAGTTTGTTGCTCAGATTCCTTCAGAACGTTGGCGTTTCGCGCGTGGCGCGGCGAGGGCCATGGACACCGCGCCGGTGTCTCGCTTTTTTCCCCGTTCTCTTCCTCTTTTCGTTGGGGCGGCCGGGGGGGGCCGGGCGGCGGAAAGCCGGGGGGAAACCTGAGGGAGGGTGGGCCGGGCGGCGGATAGCCGGGGGGGAACCTGAGGGAGGGTGGGCCGGGCGGCGGCAAGCCGGGGGAAAACCTGAGGGAGGGTGGGCTGGGAGACATGTTGACAATGTAATGTGAAATGTCGGGATTCGTTTACCCAAGCAGGTACCCGATCACTTCTTCTTCTTTCTTCTTCTTCTTCTTCTTCTTCTTCTTCTTGAAGTTTCTTCTTCTTCGGGTTATAACAAACAGAGGGCAACGCCAGAAAGGCCGCCTATGCTGAGGAAGAAAGGCACGGTGGGTGCGAGTTGGAGGATTGCCCCTGTGGATCAGTCCAGTTGCGCAACAAGGCACAGTGCGGCGGGGACTGTTGCGCATTTACTTATTAGCTTCACTGATGTCCATGCAGGTGCTTGTTCATCTTAATTCAAAGCGTGCATGCCTAGCGACTAGGCTCGCTATTTCATTTCATTTCATTTTTTTCCATTTCTTCTTCCTCTAGTGGAATGCGCACGTGCTGAGACGTGGGCATGGCTATGGATGCAAGTGTCATCTTTGAATATGTGTTCGGAAGGAGATGAGGGTCACTCCTTGTCACTCTTCTTCTTCTTCTTCTTCTTCTTCGAAATTCTTCTTCGAAATTCTTCTTCTTCTTTATGTACTGGTGGATGCTAGCGAGAGAGGCGACCTCGTGGTTGTGCGCGGTAAGAGCATTTCTTAGCGCTAGCGAGAGATAAGGCGGCCGGCCTTTCTTGCCGCTACCTTCTTCCCCCGAATACAACGTACGGTCATTATAGCTGTATTTGGGGTGTCTTTCAGACTAAATACAGCTATAATGACCGTACGTTGTATTCGGGAGAAGAAGGTAGAGAGGCAAGGTGGAACGATGATGGCGCGTCAACGCATCTCTAAGGCGGCACAGGGTATGTCTCTTTTGGTGAATGAAAGCATACTTAGCATAGACGATGGGCGACTGGCCTCGTATTCCTCTATAATTCTTCTACTTTCAGCGTACTCAAACAGCCTTGGGAAAAGCTGCTTTCTTTTTTTTTTTTTTTTTTAAAAGAAGCTGCTTGGCAGCCTGATAAACTGGCGCCGTGCAATGGCCCGAAAAGCTGCTTGGCAGCCGGATGAACTGGCGCGGTGCAGTGGGCCGTAAGTTAATCCGCAAAGTAAGCTATACCTTGTTCCGCCGGAATAGAACGTCCGGTGATTATAAGAGCACCATTTTGGCGAACTTTTCAGTCCAGATGCATTCATTTTTTACTGGACACAGGCAGTTTTTCCCAGTGTGGAAGCTCCAACTTTTTTTTTTTTTTTTTTTTTTTTTTTTTTTTTAGAACCGACTTTAAATCTTTCTGGTCTGTCAGTCTAAAAACCGCCAACTGCCCCCCCCGCCCCCCCCAGAACACAACTCACCCTCATTTTGGCTGCATCGCCCCGGAAAGATGGCTTCTCTACATTCGTTATCAGTCTGCGTTGTGTTCGGAGGAAGACGGTAGACCGATAATTTTTTATTTTTTTATATTAGTCCGATAATTTAGCACCTACGGACCATTTTTTCATACAAGATTACGGCACGGGCTCTCTCTCTCCGATGGAATGCTTCTACACGGCTACCGAGGGAAGACGAAAAGAAAAAAAATCCCCAAAACAAAAATTCTCATTGGAGAAAATTCGGTGGTTGGTATGCCTAGGAGTTTCACGGGATAAAAAGTAGGTGTAGAACCAGGGACCAGGACCCACTAGCGCCGTATTATACCGTGGGACAGTGGCTTGTGACACCCTTTTGGCATTTAAAAAATGGTTTCTGT